CGTTTTTGTTTGTTTGCGTCCTTCCCCGTTATCCCACGCGGCCGAGGGAAGGGTCGGGGCGGCTCCCGCCGCGCTCCGGGGTCGCCGCTGGGCCCTGTCATTTGCACGGCCTTTTTATCTCCCCTCCTCTTTTCTTTTTGCCCCTTTTCCCCCCGTTTCTGCGCGGTGCCCGCGGCGCTGAGCGCTGCCTCCGCTTCCCCCGCAGGGCGCGCGGCGGCGGCGGCGGCGCTGGAGCGGGAGCGGGAGCGGGAGCGGCGCGGGCTGCCGCGGGGGCCCTGGCGGGAGCAGCCCCGCGCGCACGGCGGCGGTGAGGCCCGGCCCGGCGCCTCTGCTCGGAACAGTAAATACATAAATAAACGCACAAATAAAGGACGTGTTGCCGCTTCGAAAGGTCCCTGCACGTATGAAACCCTGGCGAGGAGCGTGGCTGCCCACGCTGGGTGTAGGGCAGCGCCCCGGGTTTTGGCATGCAGAACTGCAGGAGACGGCCTGGATCCCGGGCCTGGATCCCGGGCCTGGATCCCGGGCCTGGATCCCGGGCCTGGATCCCGGGCCTGGCCCAAGGCAGTGGGAGCCCCGGGTGCCCTTCAGGCTGCAGAAAGCCCAGCAGGCCGCCTGCGCGGCTGGTCGCCCTGTCAGCCCTGATGCCGGATGCCAGGGGGTAGGGAGCGATGGGCGTGCGGAGCTTCCAGCTGCAGGACGTGGCAGATGCCGTGTGCCCGGCAGCAGGCAGGAAGGGAAGGCTCCAGCGGGAGCAGTGAGCAACGGCAGCAACCTGAGGAAAAGTACAAGARGAGGGTAGATGTTGGGTGGCTCTTCCCTAGACTCCTAGATTGTTTGCTCCTCCTAATGCAGGGGCACTTCCCTGTAGGCCACGCTGTTCCTGCCACCTCTGCTGTGCCAGAGGGGGCTTCTGTYACTGCTTCCCCAGGCTGAAAGGGGCCTAGGCTGCCCGGTTTTGTTGTACGGAGTCGTTCCACACTCCCGATGCTCCTTTCAGCCTTCTCYGTGCCCGACCAGTTCCACTGCCATGATTTCCAAGGTGAGGGAAGGGGTATTTCACGTGCTCTTCAAAGTGCCCGTGCCCGGGTTTCATGCCGTGCAGTGGTGCTGGTGCGTGGGGCTGTGCTCCCTTCCTCACAGCTGCTGATAACGCTGCTTGCCTTTTGACACTGAATATTTGTTGAAATGCTCTGYGAGCCCCCGAGGACCAACCGCCCCGTTATTGACCCAACAGTGCTTGGTTTAGAGGCCTCTTGCATGTGAGCTCGCATTGTTTCTCATGTCGTGTGTGTGTGTGTCACTTTATGTGCATAGGATTTCACTGGCGCTGTCATTGACTCGGTCTCTTGCAGCGCTTCCCATTTAGTCCTCTTGTCCGTGMTTCTGAATAACCTGCTCTTGTCAGCAAATCAGATATCCATTTTCCAGATCATGTATTAATCCAGTAACCTGCGCAGATCTCTGCAGGGTGCATCCCATTGCTGGCTTAAAAAAAAAATCTGGCACTGTGCACTATATTATATATATTATATATATATACACTATATTATATATATATAGTATATATATACACTATATTATAACAGCATGTTATGCATAGATTTTTTCCATTTTTGTATATGAGGTTTGAAAGGTGGAAGTGAAAATTAAGGGTTTAGTCTTTGTCTCCTGGCATCTGGTAGCTCTTTAACTTCCAGACAAGAAAAAAATCCTGCAGTTCACGATAAACTTAAATTCTGTGATGATCTAGTGCTGCATGTGGGATTTTTTTTTTTTTTTTTCTGGTAGTTCCATTTGATATTTTAAAGTAATTTGATTAGGGAAATAAAATCACAGCAGTTTAGGAAGCCAAGTTCTGTAGATTTAATATTGCAAATATGTGCTGTAGGTGTCCCTGCTTGAGCAGGGGGGTTGCCCCAGATGATCTCTAGGGGTCCCTTCCAACCTCAACCAGTCTGTGGAATATACAGGCCTTGGCTAACACTGGCCTTCCYTCGCCCGGCCTCAGTTTAATGCATGCTTGCAGGCTCTCAAAGCTGATTGTGCCCTTTCTCTTTTTGATCCCTAACCAACTTTTTGTTTGTAATAGGCCGATCTACTTTAAGGGTCCCCGGACACAAGCCTACGGACTGGGAGAAAAGGTTTTTGTTGTGGGCAGGCCATTTCAAAAAGGCAGAGGAAATTCCAGAGACTGTCTCGTAAGTGCCACTTCTGAAGCTATAACGGAGCCGTGGTGTCCGCGGGACCGCGTTGCTTGCGTGCAACTSCACAACAGCTTTTCTTGAAGGGAATGGGGTTTCATAGCGGAAAAACACACAGTACTGAGGACAGTTCGGATTTTGTCCCATGTATTGCGACAGAAGTTGACAGAGTTAAATTCTTAGCATGTTGTGATTGCTGCACTGTCTTACAGACGAGGGAACCACTGGCAATTCTTTATTGTGGAGATGGATTCCTTTCAACATGTCGCTTGTCTCATTAGAGAAACAGCACAAATCAATTATTCTTATTCTGCTTTCCATAAAAAAACCTTATACAAATATTAAGATCTTTTTTCCTAGTCGTTTTCCTACTATGTAAAAATCTATCTTTCGTGAGACTTTCATGACATAATTAAAGAATAACTGAAAAATATAATTTAAAATACTTATTAATGAATGTCTGAAGGGCTGGAGGCTCCTAATACAGTTGCAAGGTTCCCTAATGAAAATAAAGCATTGTCAAAATCATCCTTTTGCTGGTGGAGTCCCATTATTGATGTTTGGCTCCAGGCAAGGTGTGGGAAATAAAACTGGCAGTCCTAGTTCTGTCTGCTACATATTCTAAAATTAAGATAAATTTTAACCAAAAAAAAAAAAAAAAAAAAAGAGAATATAGATTGGTTTAAAAAATATTCTGATGATTAGGATGGTTATTTTTGAAATTAAAATATCTACATGTATGTATATGTTTAAATAAAGGAAACAAACAAAAAACACCATGTGCTATTGAGGTAAACAAATTAGGTAGCTGCCCTCTAAAGGTAATTTATTTATCTGAATACATTTTGTGGAAAGAGTCTGTTCATCTTACATTTTTTCTGAAATATAATGAATTAAATAGTTTAAAAAAGATCACTCTATATTAGAGCATTTTTCTTAGTTACTTTTGAAATACATAAAGGCTTAAATTATTAAAAACCTATTAAATTTCAGCTTGTATATTTTAAGTGCAAGATAGCAGTCACTAATGTTGCTGAGAAGATATATTGCGGGAAGTCATTGGCTGAGCATCTTAAATCATGGTTTGTTAGAAGGATAAACAAGTTTCTGATAAAAGATGTGTTTTTTTTGTTTTTTGCAAGTGCAGAAAACCTCCTTCCCTGTGCCCCCCCRCCCATTTTTTTCCCTAAGCTTCACATCACTTTAGATATTATTAGCAAAATGTCACGTATTTCTAGCAGAACTGAACATCTTGGAAGGTAAATTTAGCTGCCAATTCCATACCTAATTGAGTTATTCTTAGTGTTTGGAAATCTTATCCTCGCGTTTATGCTTTGAACAAAAGTATAATTTTTCAAATTTGCAGGTCCTATGTGATTTTACTGGCCTGAACCATCATGAACCATTCCGGATTTTTTTTCTCCACAAGGTCAGGGGGTCAGAAAGTGATGGAAGATTCCATATTCTCTGGTGTTTGCACACAGTGACAGTCTCCTGCTGCTAGCCATGTTAGCTTTGACATCCAAGTACCTTGTTCCATGCGTTTATCTTCCTTTTCCCACTTTTTCAATCATGTCCAATTTTAAAACATGCAAAGTTTAAACAGGGTGAATATTAGATTTCACTGAGAAAGGAATCTCTGCTCCAACTTCTTCAAGACGCATTATATATACAGAATATAGATCTCTGGTTGTTTCAGAAAGCATCTGAAAATGTTGCGCCTCTTTGGCCCTCCTTGCACTGCTATCCCGCATACCAGCTCTGAATGGGCTGTAGCTGCAATGTCATTTGAGTAGAGCGATCTTCAGAGATTAGCTCGGCATAAATGTCCTGTTGACACCTGTAGCTTGTCCCATACTCAGCTAGAAGGCTTTAATGACAATATTAAGGAGGGACAGAGCTGCTGGTGTGTCTCGATAAGCACACTGAAATGGAAGGAGGATTCAAAGGAGTCTTTAGTCCAAAGCCGATAGCAGCGAGCTGCCCGTGCTCTGGGCCTCCTCAGCGTGGTAGGAAAGCAAATCATCTTAAGAAAACAAATGACTTGAAGACTCGTTCTGTTTACTCCAGCCAAGGGMCGTGGTAGCCACTAATCTTTTATGAAACCTTATTGAGGCTGATAGCAGCCTACATTACGATACGCTGGGCAGCCACTGTTAAACTTACTAATAGCATTACTGAGTTCTGTAATAAGGAAAGCCTCCTTTCTGCAAAAGAAAATGGGCTAAAAATCCTGCTAACCAAGGATAATGCCTTCCCCTGCCTTGGACACTCCGCTTTATTTATTGGTTAAATAAAATGTATCTTACTCCTGCTGACAAATACTTTCTTACTAGGCTGCTGGTGTTCTAAAAAAATGTTGAAATACACACCAGTTCAAACAGGGATCGGTTACTTGTTGCCTTCACAGATGTTAGAAAGTGGAGGTGAGCACAGAAGGGAGAAAGGTGCTAGGGAGAAGAAACATACCCTATTAGTAAGAGCATCCTTTGCTCTTTGCAGTCTACCCCTAGTGAACATGAGCAATAAAAAGAATTTGACTGCAAGGCAATGGAAGAAGGCTCCGSTATTTAAGTGATCTAGGAAGGTCTCTTAACAATTAAATAGCTGAAAATTAAAAATGTTTCCTTTGTTTCCAGCTTTAGCAGGAACTTACTTTGTTACTTTGATTAAGTGTCTCCCAAGGAAGCTGGAGACGAGACTTTCCCATCCTTCTAAAGCCTTCTTTCATTCTCAGTGAAAAGAGCCAAGGACTGTTATTACTCAGGATTGCATAGCTGGCATGCCAGGGGAAATCAAAGAACCAGCCAACAGTTCCTTTGGGTCCTTGATAATAAATTATTGTTTGTTTCTCTCTTTTTTTTCCCCCCCCCCCCCGAGGATTGAATCGATCAGAGCGGCAAAGACCACCCTGCGCGTGAAGTTCAGCTATGTGATGATTGCCTTGACCGTCCTGGGCTGCATAGTCATGGTGATCAGAGGGAAGCAGGTAAGCAGAATCTGGGATAATGAGTGGAAGCAGATCTTTGCAAACTCCTCAGCTCATCCTTTGGATTAGTAGTTCACATTGGTGGCGTCTTTTTTCATTACATCATTAAGCAAATACTAAAACGAGTCCTAGTCTTTCAAAAGTGATCCTTGCTGATTAATTCACAAGTCAGAAAAAGGTGATAATGTTCTGTGGCTCACATGGTTCTTTCTGTCATACAATACTTAGTTTTATCTTGCACAACATTTACTGAATTTTACTGACAAGACTTCCAGCGTTTGAAAGGAAAAAGACCTTCCTGTTGTTTTGTGTATCTGGTAGGCAATAAATGCTCTTTGTGCCAATGGAATCCAACACCTCTTTATGCACGTACCGCAACATTCATACAATTAATGATGGAAATGGCAAATGGGCATGTTTCTCCACACAAAGATTGAGAATTCACACTCCCTTAAACCATGACTAAAGAGTCCATCATAGTTCTGTGCCCTTTAATTGCATTAGAAAATACTGCCTTGCTGCAGTTTGTATGAGGCAGCTTTTCCCATCAGGAAGATACGTGCTTTATGGAAAAACTCCCAAGTCCTGCAGAGGATGAGCATCCTTCACTTGCACAGAATTTGGAAAGAAATTCACTAAGTTCAGTATGTGGCAGGATTAGGTCTATGGTTCCATTTGCATTATATGAAGTAAGTTTGAAGTCTAAGGTTCAACTGCAGCAAAGGTTAGGTTAGGTTTGTTTTGTTTTTAACAGAGTTGGTTAAAAATTAACTTCCTAATATTTCTGTAAGGCAAATGGGAAGGCTTTTTTTGTGCCTCTTAAGCTAAGCTGAAAACTCTCAGCAGCTTTAGTTTCCGAGTCAAGGAACATGAAAATAGTTGTGCAGCTTAGTCACGCTGCTTTTGGAAAAAAAAATATGGGGATAACAGAAACAGAGGCCTTTTTAGGATGACTGGCATAAAGCCTCTACATGTGCAGAACAATATTTGTGTGCTACTCCAGTTACAATATTTAGCTCTTTTTATAGGTTCTGTGACAATAGTTAGCTCTTTTGATAGGTTCTGTGCTAGAGAAATTTTATCTATGTAAGTCAGAGTCCCATTCCCAGCATTGTGAACTACTGAGGTGTGAAATTTCTACTTGTCAGCACAGCCCTTATCAAAGTAAAAAGGATGCAGCACTCTGCAGCCGAGCAGCTGACAGCCTTTTCTCTGGCTTTAGCAGAGAGATGAAACTCTGACATTTCCCAGAACATTTCCCTCTTAGGTTTGTGCAGTATGAAAGCAAACAGTGGAAAGAGAGATTAGAGGCAGAGCTGCTTTGGGGCTTTTGTTTCCACAGCATCTGGAGTCCATTATATGCAACTTCAGATTTGTTTCCAGTATCTCTGACTTCTGAAGACCAGAGATTAAATACTGACCAGAAACACAGAMTATATCCGCTAGTGTCATTAAAAGAAAGGTTTATTGTATTCCCAGAGAAGTAGAGAGTTTAAGTCAAAATATTTTCYAGATTTTTTTAACTCTTTTTCTTCCTGGCATTAAATTTGACTGAACTCTATCTTAGTAAGTTAGGGCAGATATTTTGTAAACTATTACTTCAAGTTTAATCTTTGTGGTCGTTTAAGGTAACACTTTCTGCTCTTCCTTTGTCGTTTTGCAGGCTGTGAAAAGGCATGAATCTCTTACAAGCATAAACTTGGAGAAGAAAGCTCAATGGAGAGAGGAAGCTGCGCAGAGTACATCTGCTAAACCCTAGAGTTCTGAGGAAGAAAGAGAAACCAAGAAGTGGGGAAGAAACAACATCCCTTTCAGCACTGGGAGGCAGATACAGTTGTATTTTTCCTGTGTGCTAGTTCTGTACTTGTGTTCAAGAARGAATGAATACATTGTCTTGTAGTCATTAAAAACAGAAACATTATTTTCTTCCTGACAGCCTCCCTGTTCCTCCCTGTCTTCCTGTTAGAAGAATAGGACAAGAGAAGAAACTGGTAGACCGCACGGTTGTTTCCCACACATGCTATGCATAAGACCAGCTATCTTAAAAGCCTGTGAGAGCCGTATCTGTGCTCTTGCTTCCAATTTGCTTTACCTAGTCTTGTGCGCTTTCTTACTGCTTAGGGTAACTAGGACACAAAAGAAACAGTTCATCTGGTTGCTGCTTGTACATCCATCCCTGTACAAGTGGATGAGAGAAATAAACAAAAGCTTTCACGGGACAGGCACCCACTATCACCATCCTGGGACGTGGGTACTGGGCTGTGGGTCCTTTCAGGAAGGGCTGCAGGTCTCCTTAGGGCTAAGAGAGAAGAAACATTAGGGTGGACCCCGAGTCAGAAATAATTAATACTGCATTAATTCCGTAACAGAATGAGCGGACGTCATTAGGAAGCCTGATTGTCCAATATATTCTGACTAAAACACAAGTGAGAGATTACTTTTTGTGAAGAACTGCCTTTTAATAGAGAACAGTTACAGTGAGTGATACTCCAYAGAACCAGTGTGTTGCAAATGACAGCCTGGCACTTTTCATACCAGAGTATAGTGATGAGAAAAAAATCCAAGCTAAGGGAATAAGGCGTATTTAAAGGAATACTGAGCAACAGCTCTAACCTGTACTATGAGATAAGCTCTCTAGAGGCACAGGAGTGTGTGAAAAGGTGATTGGGGCATTTCTAGCTTTTGGCTACTAAGCTCTTCTTTTTCTAAAATGTATTTATATTTATTCCTGTAAAGTCCCCATCTTTGCTTTCACGACATTAGCCCATGTACAAGAAGAATTATTTATTTCACACTGTGCCTCAAGTTTTAGAAACAGCAGAGCCCCGAACCTGTAGGGAGCTACTCTCCACAGTCCCATTTCTGGCATTCATCTCAGAATAGCTGCATACTGTTCATGCTGAGCAGCCTTCAACTGCACATGAGTGTTTGCCTCTTCCTTTTGCCTCCTTTGGAAGGAAATACAAATTGGGGCTGTCAGGACTGTTCCAGAGCACGTTATTTCCCAGGACTGCCTGCTAACTGCTCACTAGGGACTCGAGAAGCTGCAGACACTTGTATGTTACAACAGATGCAGTTTGTGAACTTTCTGATAGCCGGAGACAAATACTGTTTGAACCTTCAGTCACTACTAAAGGTTAGCACAGTTTCTTAATAAAAGCCCTTCAAACACACAGGGTGTCTTTATAATTGGCAAGGCAATGAGATATCCAGCACAAACTTCTCTAGTACCTTGTCATTTCCTATAGACATGGAGAGCAACTGCTACCATCCATATTATTACTGATTGAAGTGTGGGTACCACTCATCCTGGATGAGATGTAGCCTCTAGATGTCTCCGGGAGCTGCTACCAGTTTCTCCCTAAGATCCCCATCGCCCATACATGGGGATGTATGGGATGATCCCCATCCCCATATATCTCCCATGTATGATCCCCATACATCACAGTGTATGCTGGCACTCAGACTAACTAGGCTCCCACAGACTTGTCCAATTCACTGACTTCGAGTGCCAAGTCATATTTAATTCCACTGCGGATAACTGAGTGGCTTTTCAGGACAGCTCTGTTTGTGTCACACTAGTAAGCCCAGGATGTGAGAATCAAAAAATCTTCCCAGGGCGTGTGCCTGTGTTTGTGTATATTTAAACAAGACCAAAAAGGAGAACACAAACCGTAGACAGCATTTCAGGTTGCCGCAAAGAGAAACTTATATGTGATTTAGTTAATGCTTGCTGATGGCAGAGCTGTAAACCATCCATCTCTCAAAAGCAATCCCCTTTCAGTAGGCACCTGAGCGCACCAGGAACAGAATTATCATGCACTCTTGTGCTACTGACATGAAACTGTTCAGACTCATTCCGCTATTAAAGCATTTCAAATAAAAATGTCTACCTCTTAGAAAGCAACAGTTCAGAGCAGCATCAGTCACCAGTTTTTCATTTTACTTACATATCTGAACACTTCATGCCTTGTTTACCCCRAAATTGAGCTCAAAGGTCCAAAGGTTTTATAGAAGCTCCACGTCATAAATCTTTTCCTCCCATCACTCTGGTGTCTCTGCCATTTCAGGATCTACCATAGAGCCTGGGCCTCCCTGCACACATGTGCATTTACTTTCAGCTTCAACATTAGCTCCAGAGTCCCCATTAGTTTCTGGCCTAAGCAGCCAGTTTAGCGGACTGGAAAACTTTCTGATGCCCTCTGCATCCCCTACCTGCCTCCTGGCTTCAGCCTGCACCATCTTAGCACCGACTAGTTCAGAACATACCAAGTCCTTAGAACAGTATTTCACTTTTGCCATGTTTGCAGCACAATTCAGTGTAACGTTTATTCTCAAAAGGAAAACTATTTCCCTACATCTCATGCCTCATTGTTCTATCTGTTTGAGAGACAACAAATACCTCCCCCTGCAATGATAAAAGTGACAACCTGGGCCTCCGCACAGCACATGAGAGCCCTGCGGACACGTATGCACACAGAGAAGTCTGTTTTCCTACTAAGACTCAAGTGTTTGAAGGAAGACCATACTACCTCCTGCCTAAACATGGCATGGGAGGGAGGATATTAATGTGGCGTACTGCTGATCCCAGAAGGAAGCAAGCCTCGCTGGAAGGCACGGGGAATTACTCAAAGCTGGCACAAAGATGCAGTCTATTCAGAGGAAAGCTGTTCTGAAAATCATCAGGGAAGCACAAAGGTGCCTCCTCAGCATCCCGTTTRGGACTAGCAGATGGCATGTGATTCTTCAACAGTATTGTTACTGTTGGTTACAGAAAAGCAGATTCAAAAGCACTTAATGTTTTCTCGGGTTAATAACTCCCCTCCTTTAAGGATGGGGCATCAACCAGCAATGCTCTGTTTGCACCAAGGGCCAACACAGGATTCAGGCTGGACACAGGTGAAGTTTCTAGGCAGCAGTCGCCTCAAATGATTTTGTTTAAGTGGCATCTTCCTCATGAGCCCCAAATCCTGGCCTGGGCTCAGTGACTGAACCTTCAGGAACCACTGGATCATTATCATAGAATCATTATGGTTGGAAAACACCAAGATCACAGAGTCCAGCCACAAATCCTCTGCCCCATCACCTCCGGCAGCCTCCTGAACCCAAGAGCGCGCCCCTACCTGCCGCGTGTCACCGGGAGCTTTACCAGCAGAAGGGATCACAGCTCCTGGCTGCCGCTCCAACAGATGCACAACACGGAAAGGCTCTACGGGACTCGGGCAGGACTGCCAGGTGACGCCACGGAGCAGCCTCCATCTCCCGGGAAAGCCGAGTGCAACAGTCCCACTTCATTACGGAGGCTGCAAGAACAACTCCAAAGTTCTTTGTTCTCGCCAATCTTACCAGTTTGGGGTGCGTTTGGAAGGAGCTTGTAGAGGATCTCCAAAAGCAGATAAAACCAAATGGATTAACTTCAATTTCCAAAAGAAGGGGAGCAGAAAGTGTGTGCAGTCCCTCTCCTGGAGCTGCACGGCAAAGCTAAGCAAAGACCCCGAGCGCCCAGCAGCCCCAGGCCCTATCCTCTAACCAGCAGGCTGTGCCACTTCCTACCTGCATRCAAAACAAGAACAGACCATTTAAAACACAGCACGACCTTTGTGAGAGCGTTCCCTGAGTTAATTCCTGTTCGAACAGCAGCAGGCCCTTTAGGAAAGCAGAGAATATTGCTTTTAAAGTTTCTAACACAGAGGAATAACACTTTGGGTAAAACAACACTGGGTATTCTAATGCCAGTCTACCCATTAGTTACTCTTAAGGGTAAAAAGGTAAARAGTGCCTTGTTACTCATCTACATAGGATAATATCTTCAAACCTTTTAAAACAGCTTGCTAATCCCCATTTTTAGCATGCTGGCACCAACTTTTCAGAGGTACTTTTCCTCTAAAGCAAAGACCTGTATCCGCAGCCTGAATGTATTTTTATTAAATGAGTAATCTTGCACTACACATAGAGCTCCATCAAAATGCAGGCAGTTTGCTTGCCCTGATCAGTCTGCATCATTGACCAGGTCTTTTGACTATTCACAAGGCTGATCTTCCTCCCATATTCACTCAACYTGCAACTCTGGTTACAGGCAGATCTTGCTCCTTTTCAAGCAGTTAACAATGCTAAGTAAAGCAAGGCCAAGAACAGTTTGCTGGAAGGTCCCGCTAGAAATGCACTCATGGAAGACCATTTAAAATTAAACTGAGACCTATGAGTTAGCCACATTTTTAATCCATTTAATGTGTGCCATGTTAATTTTTGTATTGTTTTAGTTTTCAGTCAAAATACTATGCAGTACCAGTCAAACGCCTTACACAGTCTAAGTATATATGACAACAACATTATTACCTGTGTCGACCAAGCCTGTCACTTCAAACAAACATACCAAGTTTAAAGAGTGATACTTATCTGCTCTGAATTCACATATCCACTGCAAAAGTAACAAACACGGGCCAAGATCCTTACAGAGGAAGGCACACTATTCAGCTTAAATGGACTCTTTTTTAATTCACTCATTTAGAGGCAATTGTCATTATTTTCTCGGGGAGAGGGCAAGAAGGGAACGCCAATGCACCACATTGTTTTCACTAGCCTGGAAGAGAAAACACTTATATATATATATAGATATATAGATATATAGATATGTATATAAATACACACATGTGCATGTGTGTATATATATACGTGTGTGTGTATATATATGTATATATACACACAAGTGTATATATACACAGAATATACATATATGAATATACAGAATATATACACACACACTTTGCTCAGATTTGTTTACAAAATATGTAGCATTTTTATACCATCCAATAAGAGGTACATGATTTTAAACAAATCTTATAGAAATGACATGTTATTGGAAATTTACACGTAAAAAAATCCAGCACAAAAAAATCCAAAAGCTAAAACAAGATTTTGCTACTCATCAGTGCTTCTATCACCCTTCAAGAAAGAGAAACACAGTTATTTATATGTGATGTAAAGGCAACATTGAGGGGTTTTTGTTTTTAAATTAACCACCAAATTTAACCCCCTAAAATTACAAAGAATCGAAGTCCATTTACAGATCAAGTGCAGTAAACTAAATGTTCCTTCAGCACAAAGCAGCACTAGAGAAAATAACTGGGGGAGGGAAGGTAGAGGCCAACTGGATTAGCTAGGGAGGCAGCAGGTGGCTTCTGCGGTGGCCACACAGGTCAGAGTCTCCATCCTGAAGCACAGACAGAACTGAAGACTATATTTAAATAATGATCACACAGAGCTGATGTTCAGGCCCTTGCCTAGCTTATGTCAGCAGTTTGACAGGTGATTTACCGATTCTTTATTATTATTATTCTGTATCCAATGGGTTGTTTTTGCTTTTGCAGTGGCTTGTCACTGAAAGGAGTCATTAGGAGGATCTTGCAGACAGTTCTGCCAACAACATTTACCACAGGTACATGACACTGCAGCAGTCAGTGGCAATTTTGAAATGTTTATACTGGACAAACGTGTGGTCCAAACGTCCAAAACGTCTTGAGAGAACACAGCCCAAGGCAGGGAGGAGCACACGGCCTGGGGCGGCGCCTGCATGGACAGAAATGGAGCGGTCACTTTCAGTCGTGTGGCATCGCCTGTTGTGTGTGTGTGGAGAGCCAGGCTCCGCTGAACGCGGTGAGGGGCGGCTGGCCTTTGCATCAGACACCTGTGATCCAAGCAGGCTGTGGAGCCAGGAACATGCTGCTAGCAGAAGGGCAGCCTGCAGCGGCCAGTGGCAGCTCTCATGCAGTCAGCGATGCTGCGCGGACGTCACCTGCGGGACCCACGCGTTCCACGCTAACTCACCTGGCGTCCCGTAAACAGCAAAAGGAAAACAAAATGAAATGAAAGGGCCAGGAAGAGCTGGGTGGAATATTACTATCCTTTCAATGTAGTGTCACTGTAGTTGTTTAAATAAGGGATTTGATCAAGATGATTTTATTAGGTGAGCTGGAGAGGAAGCTCTGT